GCCTAGTGAACTGGTATGTAGCAATTTGTTTAAATATTCTAGTCCTTTCCCAATAGTCTGTGAGCCCCCTGAGAACAGAGATCATAATTACCATAAGGTCTGACACTCGTAACCACAGCTAAATATTTTTGAAATGAATAAGCAGAATTTAATCAAAAAAAGGAACTGGGAACCACACTAATTACACACTGATGATAAATATGGCATTGCTGAGTCTATCTATAGATAACCAGGAGTACACACACGGTCTTAAAACATGTTTGATATGTGTTTTGCTCTTGTTCCATTAAAAGATGATGTTGGGGATGGAGAGATGGCTCAGCGTTTAAGAACACTGGTGCAGAGGACCGGGGTTCAAATCCCAGCATCCACATGGTAGCTAACAACTGTCTGTAACCCCAGTTCCAGGGGATTGACAGCCTCTTCTGTCCTCTGCAGGCATTGCACGACACAGGTGCACTTACCTACATGCAGGCAATACACGCATATACATAAAATAAAAATAAAAAATATAAAATATAAAAGATGATGTTGACCCATCTGAAAGGCCTGGTCTGTGGGTGTGAATACCAAGTGAATAATGGCGAGAATTATATTTGGAAAGTTGCTACTTAAATAATCTACATGAGATCTAATGATTTAAATATCAAGATAATCCATGAGATCACTAAGGTGCAGAGGGTATTAGAACTGGCAAGATTTCCTAACTAGGTGAGTGACAAGTCCAGTGGTTTCTTTCTCCTTCCATATTTGGAGATTTCTGCTTTGATTCTACCAGGAAAGGGGACTGTTATGGTAAGAAACATGACTTGATGACTTAAAATTATATCCTCAAGAATTCCAGAGGGAAGATTACACCTCCTGGCCACTTAGCATGAGCATACAGGCCTGAAAGAAGGCAGTGAGATGAAGGAGTGTTTTGATGTTTTGCCCTGAGCATGCTACAAGCAGCCCTCCTCCCCCAACACATACGCACACTGGAGGGAAGAAACTGCTGTGGGAAACTGACCATGAAATACCTAGAATCTTTTGCTAACCAACATTTGTCAAGATTTGAAAATCATAAGCTCTTTGGACCTAAAAGTAGTTTTGAAAAGGCACACTTGCAATTTCTGCAGAGGATACATGGCAGTAAGAAAGAACACAAAATCTGGAGTAAAGTCTCCAGACTTCAATCTAGCTGTGTCTTGAACTCCCAAGGCTCCTGTCACCAACCCCTTACAACCACTATGATTCTCTTTTACTGGAATCTTACCAATACTACTGAAGTACTATAACCACAGCCCAGGGCAGAGGGTCCAAGTCCTCAGGCCCTTGAAGAAAGTTAAGTCTCTCTTCTTATCCAAGTGATGATCTATTTACTGGGAGGAAGATCAAATCTAAAATGTGGCACTCAAGGAATTTACAACAGCCAGCAAGACTGAAGTTGTACCTTTAAAAGACGAACAGCTATATGTGGTTGGGTAAGATAGAAATCTGGAAATGATATGACTCATTGTGCTGTGTGACTAGGGTAGAAAATGACTGTTATAAGGGATGGCTTCCTGAAAGTGAAAGAATTTGAGTCAGAATTTAGAAGATGGATGGGAATTAGGGGGCAGACAGAAGTGGACAGAGCAGATGAACCCTAAAGAGATGCAAAGAAGAATCTAATGAAGTAAATTCTGGTAATGCACATGCACTGGCTAGAAAAGCTTTGCTTACTGGGGTTTAGCATAGCTAAGTGTAAGGTTTTCAGAAGTGGTCAAGGGTCTTAAGAACTAACTTATAGAACTAACTGGTCCTTCTCTTATAGACAATAAAAGGACTGTAAAGGGTTCTAAGCAGAGAAAAGCATAATGAAATAATATCTAGAAAGCCCCCACATTGTATTGCATTCACTCTGATGTTGTAAGACACGCTGCTATGAAAAAAAGGCCCTTTCATTATATTACTAGTGAATCACTAAAGACCAAGGAAACATTTTGTGAATCAAAAGCTAAGTACAATATGTTAGCAATTAAGCGAGATATATCATAATAGTTGAGGCAGAACCACGGTTTTCTCCACCACAAATTCAACCTGCTAGGGAAAGAAAGGCTTACATCATCTTCCAAGTTATTATCAAGGCATTTTGTTTTGATTTTCAGGAGGTGGGGAAGGAAGAAATGAGAGGAACACGGGGGTCAAGACATCCAAAGCTGTCTATTCTTTAATCAGAAGGAATTAGGAAGTAGAGTTAGGAAGGAGATTTGCTCCAAACAAAACCAGACCCAGGATGAATCTCGGGTTTCTACACCTTACTTCCACTCCAAAACAACAAAGGCAGGTGTGTGGCTGGAAGCTAGCTGCTCACCAGCCCTTTCTGCCCCGTTTCCGGTGCCTATGCTACTTTATTTACTGCAGCTGGCCAAAGTTTGAAAGCCTGTTTCATGTATTAAGATTCAAATGTGGAAAACATTACCAGTATCCTTCTTGAATTTTCTGTTGTTGTTGGGGGAAAAGAAAATTCTCTCTCTCTCTCTCTCTCTCTCTCTCTCTCTCTCTCTCTCTTTCTCTGCCCCCCCAAACTTCCTTTTTATTGTGGAATGTATCAAATGGTCAACGGTTAAGTTCAGACTGACTAAATTCAAAAACTATTTTCTTTGTTCTTAGGTTTTTGTTTTAAAATTAATACCAGTTTGTGCAAGGAAAGATATGCCAATCCAATCTCTTTCACACACATGAGTGTTTGGGGCTGAGGAACTGGGATTTTTATGGACAGGCCACGTGGTTTCTAAGGAGAAATGACAAGAGTCCCTTTGGCTCAAAGGGCAGCAGGCTGTTGACATGGCATGTCTCTGCAGCCAGGCCATGATTTGGTAGGCTCTGCCATTGTTTTTGGAGGAAAGAATGGAAACATTTTTCAACGGCAAAGCAGGCAGTCTTCTTTCTTCTAGATACCCCCCCCACCCATATATCAATCAAAGAGGTGTCTGTATAATATTGGATGTTTTCTTTTTTTAAAATTGTTCGATTCTATTCTCTTTCCCCTTCTATGGGGTCAGTTTACATTCCTCTCTCCAAAAGTAATTCCATTGTTTTTCTCCTGTCCCATCTCTGAATCAGACTCAAAAAAGGCAATTCAAAGGTCAAATAATTTCAAAAAGCATCTATATACAGTTTAGTATGTTAAAGAACCACTTAACCTACATCTGGTATTTAAGAACAAACTACGTATTTATGGAAAAGGAGGCCTCCGAAGCCAAGACTGGGTGTACAGCGCATCCGACTAACATATGCAAAATGAACACGGCTACAGAAATTAAAATGTTTTTCTCTTGATTGAGAGCAGATATACAGAAATGGTTATAAGTCACAGATCTGGCTTTTAATAAAGCTAGATTTCTTAATTAAAAGCAGTATTGTTTAAACACTGTAGTTAAAAAGAGAGAGAGAGCTGTACAAACGAAAATCTCATATTATATGCATCCCAAGTGTATTTAACACATTACCTGAGGCCAGGCTAAATTAAAATCTAGATTTTCCTTTTGTAAACTCTTAGAAACTGCCAATGAGCAGACAGTTTTTACTTAGTGATGAATTTTTAGGGTAGAAGTCAAAGAAAAGAAAAAAGAAAAGAAATAAATAAAAGATTTAGTTTTGACATTTAAAAAATATATTTCCACATTTTAGAAATGAGTTCATTGCTTCTCAGATTGGCTGCAGGTTTCAGAATTATACTGTTCAGGATGGCACTCTCCATGTTAGTCTATTAATTAAGAGGAATTGAAGGAAGGACAGAAAAATACTGTTGAGCAAGAACTTGAACTTTATAACGATTTGTAGTTATTTTACATTTCCTCTTAGAAGCACCTTTAAATGAGACAAGCTGCAGCGAGAATGGAAAATAGACTTTCTTCCAAGCAACTTTTAAAACCCTAGAAGAGGCAAACGGTACTAAGATGTTTACGACCAAGCACCTGCAAGGAGCAGAATTACCCCAAATCATGAATACAGTTAAATTCACCCATTTGTCAGTTCATTAACTGTTATCACTTACTATTTTTGTTATAAAGATTCTATGCGCCTCCCAAAAGGGTCAGAGAATGCTTTCCATTTCAAAAATGGTAGGCAGTCAATAAATCCTATTTATCATGTGGACAAATCTGCCTACAGATTACTCGAATGACTTCATAAATAAGTAGTAGCAAGCTGTTCTATACCTTCCATAACATAGTCTCACATGGTGTACGTATACAAATGAATACAGTGTATTTCTAGCTCCCATAGGCATATCGAAAGGCGCCATTTTGGTTTCTTGAAGTTAAAAAAAAAATCCATAACCAATATAAACCTCATACTTGAAATATCATTAGCGTAACATGAACTTAAATTGTATGCTCTGATCAAGGTCACCAAGATAAATGATTGAAAAGCTAAGCACCGAGCATGCCACTTTCTCCTAGACAAACACTGAGTGGAATGGAAACGTATCCAAACAAGAACTTACACAGAAATGCTCACAGGAGCACTGATTACAGCTGCCAAAGAGTGACAGCAACCCAAGATCCAGTGTGGTAAATAGAGATAAAAACAAATGAAACTTTAATATGTGGTGAAACAGCTAAACGTTTAAAAGATTGTACAGTGAAAGAAGTTATCAGAAAAGGCCAGCATATCATATGATTCCATGTAAATGAAATGGCAAGAATAGGCAAATCTACGGAGACAGAGAGTAGACCAATGGTCACGAAAAGCTAAGGGGTGTGAAAAAGGTGGGGGATGACTGCTTAATGGATATGTGGCTTTCTTTTTCTTTTTATAAAAGGCAAAAATGTTCCCGAATTAGACTGTGGTGATGGTTGCATGATGCTATGAACACCCTAAAACACACTGAATTGTTCACTCTTAATGGACGAATTATTTATACAGTAAATTATATCTCAATAAAGCTATCACTGAAAAACAATAGTAGCAGAAGTAGTTACACTTGAAATTCTAATTCTATAGAAGTAGGGCCTACAAAGCTTATCACTTACCATAAGTGAATGTCTGTTGGCTGAAAGAAGGCCGGTTCCATACCCTGAGCCCAGACCACCCATTGCGCCATTATGAGAGGGTCCAATGATTCCATGCATGTCCCCATGGCCACCAGGCACAGCTGTGGATGGGCCCACTGCATGATTCCGGAGAACGTGAATTGCATCATCCAGTCTTTCTAAGCGATCTTCAATTCGGCTTTGCTGTTGGTTAATAAATGAGGTGAAATCTGATTTAGTTTGAAATTGCATGCACAGGTTATGTAAGTAAAACCCTGAGTTACCACAGACCACACTTTGGGTTTCTGAATATATGTTTCTAATAACATTTATTTCCTTAGAACAATAGTAAAAATAAATAATGTCCTTCCTACAAAACTGGTGGAAAATGTTAATGTTAAAATTACGGTGTTATTTTTTCATGAGCAAAGTAAATTCAATGATTCTTTGAGGACATTATTGTGCACATATGCTATACTGGACTGCATTAGCTTGAAAGGGAATTTAGATTTATGCCAGAGAGAAAAAAAAATGCATTGAATTTGAGGAACATTTTGGCAATCATTGGGTAAAGAGCTAAAAGAAATTAGCAGTAGAAAGATGATCTGTTTTTGGTTTTCTAATTAAATTATCTTCTTCAAGACCAAGACAGGTGAAAGTACAGAGAGTCCGAATTCTTAATCTTTCAACCTATGTTTTTTGCTTTTTATCTTGTCATCAATACCAACTTGCATATGTGGAGAAGGGGTTCGGAAATTGTTACAGCAAAAATATAAAAACAAATTCTGTCACCCAAAGTGATATGAAGCCTCAAGAAAGAAGACTAGTGAAGATGTGAATAAGCTGTTAACCGAGGACTTACAAATGATTTCAAAGTCCATAGTACAATACAGAATTCACTACTTTGCTAAGTTAAAAACCAATCCTTTGTTCATTTTAGTCTTTAGAAATCCTACTTTTCCTCAACTAGATAAGGCCACATAGTTATGTGTTCATTTTCTACTATAACTAATAATCATATCAAATATTGCTTGCCAGTGTGTACATTAAAATAGACCATCTCACTGCCCCTCACCCTACATGTACACTATAAGCGACTTGATGCCCCTTTCATATAGACATGAAAACTGTGGTCAAAAAATTAAGTGGGTTAAGGTAGTCAGGGTTGAAATGCAGGTGTTTTTGCTATTGTTGTTTGTTTTTAAACTTAAATCTAGTACTGTTTTGCCCTAGAACATGCTATGGTCTACTTTGATTTCTAATGCACTGTGCAAACAGATGTACCAGCTCTACTGCATGAGAAAAACAAGTTCTAATTATTCTATACTGACATGAAGAATGTGTGTCTAATAGAGTTAGTCTATGGTACAGAACATTTTGATCTGGTGGGTTTGAGAGTTACATGAGCCCCCCCCCCTCCCCCCACTGCTAGCTCTGCTACTTATTTGACTGGGGAAAAGTTACGAAACGTTTCTCTGAGTTTATGCTTTTTAATCTATAAAAATGAGAGTGACAGTAGATAGCTGTGTCAGTGTAAGCATGAAAAGAAATCAGGCCTGAGCCTGGCATACTTTCTGGCTCACAGTTTCCTGGTGGAGAGAGAAGGGAGTTTCTATTTACGAATCCGGGTGAGTGTTCAGAATCCAATAGGAATCAAACCTATGACCCACAGTTATATACCGGCCTTTCCAGCTCTATAGCTCAACAACGCCTGTTTTTGCTGGATGTATGGTGGAAAACAGCTGATGAAGGTACGTGCTTAACAGCTGCATTATTAGGATATTCTGTAGATGAAAAAGCTGGGCAGTGCGGGTTTGCTCCAGTGCGGGTTTGCTGTCTGTGTAGTTGCCTCTACTGGATGGACGGTGAGGAAGAGGCAACAGAAAGGAGGGAAATTTGCCTCTGGATTTTCATTTGTAGGTTTTCCTTTAAATAATAAGTGGACAGAAAGCAAGTGGTCCATAAATTACCAGGAAGTCAATGCTTTCCTCTTTGTTTCATTTCAAAATACTGAGGAAAACTCAGTCCTGAGGGACGACTGGTGCGGGGGGGGGGGGGGGGGGGGCTACTTGACTCGTGTGCAAACCAAAAGTGCATGATGCTGGGCTGTTTCCTGCATAGTTGCAGCTCCGCCCACCCTGAACTGAGGAAGATGAAAGTGTCAGACATTGAATCATCATGTGAGTATTTATAATATGAATTAAGCCCATGGAAAGGAACAGCTATTTCTCCCAGGAAGAGTAGGCTCTTCTTTACAAGTAAAAGTGCTGGAATGAGGACATAAATGGAAGGCCTATTGCTTGCGGTTAAGAGGAAACGGCCTTCTGTTATCTTGCTGGCAGAGTAGAGGGAGCTAGGATCTCCAAGTGTTCCAGCTCTAGCCCCGAAAGTCATCTATAGGGATCTTTTCCAAAGATGGAGGGAAAGGGGATATTATCATTCTGCAGATGGAGTCATAATCTCTTGTCTGGCATTAGGTATGCAGAGCCCTGGGCTTCGTTCTAGGGCCATCCAGGTCAACATCTACAAATAGAAATACACATAGCCTAACAAGTCTGGCTCCAATAAGCTGGTGTACTTACTGTTGACTCTGAGCTATGATTACCAAAAATAAAAATCTTAGACAGAAAAAGGAAAAACCTGATTGGACAAGGCAAGAGATGAGCAGACCTACCAAAGAGTGCAAGGGTCCTTCATAATTGGGAGATGATGATGCCTGTCCTCCATTTCTAGACCAAACAGCTGTGCCTGCTGATATTAAAATGAAAATCATAATCAGATATGTGTGTACTTAAACTCATTGACACTTAAAAAGAATCCTCTTAGCCAAAGCAATGCTGATTTTCATGAATCGATAAGATAAATACACGTAGACTTCTGAGATCTAAATTTTGGGCAAGACAAATCCTTAAAATGTAAAACATAGTCTATACGTGGCCTCACGGCTTCCTGAAGCTGCTCTGCATAAGGAATACTTTATTGGGTATAAATTTCAGTTAGCAGAGTTCCTCTGGGAGAAATCTGTCACTGGAGAACTGTAGAGTCAGTACTTTTAAGGGTACTAAGAGGGGGGGTAATCAGATCATTAGGGGAGGACAGTTTGTTTTCAGCTAAGTTTCCTCACCAACAGGAAAGAGCTTTGCTGTTGTTTAAAAATGACCTATAGAAGGAGATAAACCTTTAGAAATTGTTTTAAAAGGGCTATGGAATGAACTCAGGCCTTAGCACAGGCTTTATACACACTGTTCCATGGATTCCCTTAGAAAGTAAGCTTAGTTAGCAGTAATTCACTATACCAGAAAATTTAAAACCCCATTAACAGTATCAACTAAGTTTCTCCCAAAGAAACTAACTTTTTAATGAGACACCAATTTTCAAAGATTCCTGTTAGAATACATATTCTGTATCTAACCTACAACATAAAAAAAACAGTTGTAAATTTAAATCAATTTAAAGTGCTCACATCTACTGTAGAGAAGTTTGAAAATACATAATTTAAAATAGGGAAAAAATAACTATGATCTCACAGGGCCTCATGCCCTGCTGCTGCTGGCATGTTTAGAATCCATTCTTCCTGTCTTTTCTGGGTATGCCCGTGTATTTTTATGCTAAATAAAAATAGGATATTTTGTTCAATTACTTTTCTTGACAGAATTTGGACAGAGCCGTTGGTGTGAAAATAGCAATCTGTCCCCTTATTTGTACCACCATAAAAGTTCTTTCTTCCTAACAGTGGTCTTCCAGGATGTGGTACCAGGACCCAACAAGTGCCTTCACCAGCCTTCGACCAGATTCTAGCAGGTTACTGAGCGGGCTGTGTGGGTTTTACTAAATGACTGTACATTCCAACTTTCCCATCCTAACCTCAAGTGCAGGAAAAAGAGTACCAGACTCTTGGTCGAACTCTGTTACTCCTCCTGGCATCCCCTCAGCAAACCATCCAGCCCTCCTGAGTCTCACTTACAGGTAAAACCAGGGTATCTGACAATAGTTATCTTCATACTTCAAGACCACAGAATTAGCTGCTTTGCTTGATTGGAAAGTGTGACATTCCACCTGTTTAGACATTTTCCTCCTAGTGTCTCAAGTCCTTTGACCCACTTCCTTCTCTGCTTTGGGAGACTGATATGTGAAATCATTTTTTTTTTTTCAGATCCCATGAGTCTGATGCAAGCAAGAAGTACACAATACTGAACTTTCCTTTCCATTTGTGCATGGGGATAGTCTCTAACTCTCTTAAAATCATCTCTGCTTCTTCCCAGCTTCGACTTGGTCACGAAGAACAGACTGACTTCAAGACTCAGTTGACTTTTTCACTGTCCTACTCTGTGCCTCATGCATCACAAGGGCTTAGAAAACGCTGATATGAAATTGCATCTGTGTCACAGCCATCACTTCTGAAACATTTGTAGCCATCTGAAACCTCCCATTTTCCAGCTACTGGGGCCTGTGACACATGCATGTAGGGAATAACAAAGGATTCCAGGGCACATGTAGGAAGTGAATCCACTATAAATTACAGCAAGGTCAGATAAACATGGCACTTGGCTTTGTATGTAAGCAACTCTCCTTTCTTTCTAAAGATTTGAAACACGGACCGTGCAAGGCTTTCTGAACATATTCATGTAGGAAGGGCAGCTAGTTACTCAAATGTACCTTTAAAAGTAAAACGACTTAGGCCGGGCGTGGTGGTGCATGCCTGTAGTCCCAGCACTTGGGAGGCAAGAGGCAGGCAGATCTCTGTGAGTTCAAGGCCAGTCTGGTCTACATAGTGAGTTCCAGGCCAGCTGGGGCTACATAGAGACCCTGTTTCAAAAGTAAAATGATTTAATGATAAAATTCTACCATTTATAAATTACACAATATGAAGCCACAGCTCTTGGCAATTTGTTTTATTTTAAAGACAAACACCTCCTTACCACACACAATTATTTTGCGATTAATTTACAGTTACATTTTTCTTCAAATATTCCAATAGAATTAGGGAAGGCATAAAGGTCTTCAAGAAATGATCCACTGATACGACACAGTCTATATTTGGTGATTAGGTAGTCTACATTCATATTCATGACAATATTAACTTTTTTGAGATACTTTATTAGAATAATGATTTGCATTAGATATCTTCTGTAGAGCTAAGAAAAGTTTAAGAAATAATTTTTCAGCTAATTTTAAAGGAAAAACTTTGGATACCAATGCACTCTCATATTGTAATCGATCTGTTCCATCCTACTCTCTTTGCTTGTAGGAATATTCTATTTTGAGACTTTTGTGGGGAGTAAGTTTCCTCCTCCTAGAGTGGAAGTACAGAAGGTAAATAATTTTTATAAGCCGTTACTATTGTGAAGTGGAATTTAGAATACAGTACCTGAGAGAGAAGGAGGTGAGCCAACAGGAGTTGAAGGGTTGGATGAAAAGCTGTTGTTAGTGTGGTCTGGAGAATAGATCTGAAAATGGGGAAAGGGAAAAAAGTCCTCATTTATTAACAATAAACAATTTTTAAACAACAAAATTATCCATGCAATTCACTTAAATCTAACAAGTTACAAAATATATGAAACAGTCGGCTATAGTAACAATATTAAATAATGAAAAACTTAATAATTACTTTTAGTTTTCCAAAAGAATGACTGTAGTGGTATGGGATGGCAAGGAAACCAACCCGCCAACCAACCAACCCACCAACCCACCCACCCAAATCCTAATCAACCAAGCAATCGACCAACCAATGAACCAATCAATGAAACCCTTTCCACACAGCTTTCTTCATGAGAGATGTGGCACCCACCCTGGGACCTGCCAACTTCAAGTCTAATCCTTTTCCACTTATAATTGGCAGTGTGGCCATGAACTATATGATATTGATTCCCCTTTTCTCCTCTACAAAATGAGCTGGACAGTATTGCTTCTAAGGTCCCCCTTTACCCAACTCCATTACTATAATTAGGGCATTTGATACCAGGACATGAGAAAGCCCAGATTAAATTGGTACTCTTATTTAGAACACAATGCTAATATTAGCTGAAGTGATTTTATTTGTTTTTCTGAGACAGGGTTTGTCTGTAGCCCCAGCTGTCCTGGAACTTGCTATGCAGACCAGGCAGGCCTTGATCTCACAAAGATTTGTCTGCCTCTGCTGGGATTAAAGGTGTGCCCCACCACACCTGGCAGATGAACTTACTGCTCACAATGGTAGGAAAAAAGGTAACTAAAGGCAAAAGTCTTAGAAGAACTAATCTCTTAAAAGTGCAAATGATCATGCTTATTTAGCCTTCGAAGACAAGACCAGGGACAGTACTTGAAATGAATGAGCAAGATGATATTTTGTCACAAAAAATATTCAGCTTTAACTTCCTGGCAATGGGTGGGCAAAGCAGAGAACCTAAGTCCTCCAGGTGCTACTGAGGGTACAAGTCATTATGGACCTCAGTCATCATCATACTTCTTTCAAATAACTTTTTCTTTTTCCTTCCTTCCTTCCTTCCTTCCTTCCTTCCTTCCTTCCTTATTATTTATTTGTTTGTTTGTTTATTTATTTATTTATTTATTTAACATGTATGGGTATCCTCAGAGGCCAGAACAAGGTGCCAGATTCCCAGGGAGCTGGAGTCACATGCAGTTGTATGCACCTGAAGGGTGCTGGGATCCAAATTCAGCTCCTTTGGAAGAGGAAGTAAGCGTTCCTAACTGCTGAGCCATCTCTCCAATCCTCTAAATAAAATTTGTATCATGTGAAATATTGACTGTATGGAAAACTGACACCTATAAGTGTTCAGTTAAATTAGTGAACTTCTGTCCCCTCCCTCTGCTTTTTCCACCTTCCTGCCCTTGAATGGTACTGATGAAAGGCCAGGGTGACTATACTAAATTTTCCATTATTTTTTTTCCAGCTTTTTGTTGTTTGTGTCTTTTACCCACTTTTATTTTTTTTCGGTCGTCTTTTTTTGATACAGGGTCTCCCTGTAGCCCCAGCTGGCCTGGAACTCATTATGTAGACCACACTGGCCTTGAACTCACAGTGATCTGCCTGCCTCTGCATTCCGAGTGCTTGGAGTAAAGGTGTGCACCACCACGCCCAGCCTTCAAATACCTTTTTCAAAATGCCTTAGAATTGACTTTTGAAAAGTCATTTTCAGCTAGCCAATGAATGGGTATCTATAATACTAAAGAGGCAAAAGGTAAAATAAAGAAGAATATACAGAAAATCTATAAGCCCAGGCATAGACTATCCCTAGACCCCTCACTGAAGGTGGCTGAGCAGCACAGAGAAAACAGATGAAAGAGGCAAGCCAAAGATGGGAAGTAAAACAGCTTTCTCTTCAAAAAATCCCACTGATCTTTATGCAGGAAAGCTAGTATTCCCCACCCCTCCATCTCCCATCAAAGCTATTTGCATTTATTTTCTAAAATTCCAAATGTCCACTTCTGATTAAAGTTCACCCTGCGTCAGTGGTGCCTGTGGAGTCCAAAGTCAATATTTCCTTACCGAAGCAAGTGCTTTCCCCAGAGCATCTCCAGTCTGGGAGCTGCCTGCTGCCCCACTTCCTCTATTTGCTGCAAAAACAAAGGGCAGAATATGAAAACCAGGCAGTGAGACGTCTAACAGTTTTCTATTCCTGGTCCATTTACTCACAATTTAATTGCATTTTTAATGCTAATTACAACACATTAATCTTTAATTACCATTAATTTGTTTGCTGAGGTAGATGTCAAATATATTCATGTTACATTTTTTACAGATAAAATAGAAATCTGACACCTTGGTTTAAAGACAAAGTGTTTCAGTCACTATTGCATTCCCACAGTTGCTGATGAGCAGCTATTTATTGGTGACCAATACTAAGCCAACCCTTGGTCATCATGGAAAGATGTGACACTTTGAGGAGCTTGAAGTCCTCAGACTCCAACATTTCTTTATATTTTTACATAAAATGGAATTATCTTCATGAATAATTACACCCAGATTCAATAAAGAAGAATATGACACACAGCAAAACGGGGTGCCTCCTAGTATTGAGCAGTGAATAAAACTTAAAAAAAAAAAAAAAACTGATCTGGCTAATAGGAAGAGAGAAAATTTTTATTATTTACATATCATTTATTTCCCATATCTTTTTCATATGTATCCACTAAAACATATGTGTATTTACACTAAAAAATTTGAATGTTATGCTACTGAAATCAATAAGCTCTCAAATTTTCAGAGATAAATCTAAATATTCATGAGTCTTATCTCTACAACCTTAAATTCTTTTATCTATAAAATAAGAGGTATTTTTAGTAATAATGCATATATTCCAGTATATTAACAAAGCCAACTGTTTTTTTAAAGGTAATGTGGCATTATAACCACAAGGTGGAAAATAGGCCAGCCAGTGTTCTTCTGAGTTCTTCATTAAAACATGGACTGAAACATGGGGGCTGTTGCATCTCTGAGGTCTCAAAACTAGCAAGTAAGATCCAGTAAAACAAAAGCCATTAACGTTTGAGTGAAATTCCTTCACTATTCTGTACAACACAAAAAGGAAATCTTAAATCAATTGATTCAATTGATAAATTCAAGCAAAATTTCATTGTATACCTGCATAATTTTTAAACTTCCTAGCCTTCTTGAACAGGAAAACCTTTTTCTCACCAACTGTATCACTTTCTTCTAGATCCACAACATGTAGTGATCTCCTCACATCTCCAGAATAAAATTCTCATTCACTGGACCTCTGTTCAACATGGTTAGGTATGTTTGTGATTTTTAATATATTTATATTCTGGCCATGACAGATATTTTAATATACTTTATTTGGTAAGCACAACCCACACAAAGGTTCATTTCTCCACTATTAAGACCAGAAGAATACTAGTATACAATAAAACAAACACAATCATCCTTGGAGAAAACATACCTCTTCTTTTCCATATAACAAATTTAAGGAATTTAAATATATACATAGTCATAAGAAATTAAAACAGGGGCTTAAGAGATGGCTCAGAGGTTAAGAGCACTAACTGTTTTTGCAGAGGACCCAGGTTCAATTCCCAGCCCCCATATGGCAGCTAACAACCATCTGTAACTCCAGATTCAGGGGATCTGATGCCCTCTTCTGACCGCCACATGTACACATGGGTGTGCTTACACACATTCAGGCAATATACCTGAACATGCTAAGCGAGATGGTTCCTTCTCTTAAAGATTTCTCTTTTATTTATGTGACTAATACATCAAAAGACACATGCAATTAGAAAGGAGATATACTTTTAATTCTCAAGTGGCATAAAATAAAAATAATGAATAAAATATTTTTAAAAAGAAATTAAAACATATAGGAGTACTCTAGATTATAAGGACAGGCAGATTCTTAGAACAGTATATCTGATATCACAGAATTGGGCAAAGAGAAGCAATCTGGGAAGATATTGAGCACATTAAGATATTTAAGATAAAAGATAACTGAAATTATTTCTAGTACAAAAATGAGAATTTCTGTACTAAAGTGTTTAAAACTAGACATAATTCTAAAGGACGTTGATAAAGATTTAGAGACAGTACTAATATTAACATGCATTATCACATGGTCTTTTCTACAAGCAACATCATTTTCTCATTATTACATATGGAAGTAAAGTTAGCAGTCAAAATAATTTGTGAAATCGGCCTGATTAATACAGTTATCAATGAAGTGAATGTTCAGCCCAAACTGGGGGGGGGGGGGGAATCATACTATCTAACAAAAACCCTAAAAAATAATAATAATGATGATAATAAAAGAACAAGACCTCGCTGATAAAAAATTGCTAAAGTAGGAGTTTCAGATTTCAGATTACTTCTTCCTTTGAAAATTTTAAAAATGAATATTATAAATTTAAAAATCTATCCATCCATTCATCCAACCAGCCATTTTCGTGACACCAAAGAGGAAGAGTTGAAAAACCAATAAAAACATTCTAAAAACATTTACAAAGTAAATTATGCATCACATAAAATCATACTTTAAAAGAGACAGGATACGCTTAGCATGATTGTTTTTTAGCACCGAACCTTTTAAAGTAAGCTATGACCGTCTCTTTTATACAAAGAGATGTTAAGACTCAGGAAGTTGAATCAAAAATAGAACCAACCCCTTACCTCATCTGGCCATGAAAATGTTTCAGAAAACTACAAAGGCTACCCATGGAAGCCACTGATAAGAACAGACTATTTTTTAACTCAAGTCATTTTACCTTGCAACAGCTGGACAGCCCAACTCAAGGGCTTAAATTTCAAAGCAGTTTACTGGGGCAAGTCTACCATTTCACATGGAATGTCTTTTGTTCTGTTCCAGGAAACATTGGAGAGAACACATTTTCAAGATTCCCTGAACATGCTAAGTGAGATGGTTCCTTCTCTTAAAGATTTCTCTTCTTATTTATGTGACTAATATATCAAAAGACACATGCAATTAGAAAGGAGATATACTTTTAATTCTCAAGTGGCACAAATATTTTGATTTTGGACTGAGAAGTGGGTCATGTTTAACAAAACACATATCAAATCTATCTTTCTGGCTTTAATGTATTAGGACTTGGTTACTATTCCAGTTCAAAGTTTTTATCAACTTATATTATTAGAAATGATCAAAATGCCCATGAGACATAAACATGAAAACCATGGTCTTTACTTGGTAGAGAGTATACCAAATTTTTGTGTTATTGTAGTTCCAATCCACTTTTTTTCTCCTTAACAGAAAAAAAAAAAAAATCAGCCTCTATGTAATAAAGTTGTAACAGAAATACGAATGAAAGATGAGCAGCTACGAAGAATGGTCATTTTGTAGAGGATTTGATCTGCCAGCCACCCAAGTATTGGTCAGAGGCCTTGACATAGGTGTTGTTGCTGATAGATGAAGCACGCAGAAGGGTTTCATATCCTGAGCTCGGTGTTGGACCACCCTCGGTCTCCGCTTTGGGGAGATGGCGATTCCCTTCAGAACACACCCAAAACAAAACACCAGGATGAGTGGTGTCTGGGGATAGGCCCCGAGAGTCAGACTCTGGAAAATGTGTTTCCCCTTTACTGCACATCTGTAACCTGAGGCGGGGAATATCATGAGGACATCAAAGGCAGAGGAAGTACAGCACAGTATTCACCAGAGAAGGAAGAGTGCTTTAAGAGGAGGCTTTTCTAAGCCGTCTCCCAGTGACCCTAATGTCATTAAAGTACTGGAAGAAGCACAGCAATGTCCTGAGCTTGTCAGTGAAGAGGACTAAGAATGGAACATTCCCAGCACTCCTACAACCCTCTAAGGAGAAACTCTAGCATGGGCTGCAATGCATGTGGGAAGGACTCCACTGGATGCCGAGGGGGGATGGGGATTCCTGAGGATGTGCAAGAAATAGTGGAAAGGCTTAAATCAAACTCATTTATTGCTCTCCATTGGTGGTCTTTGTGGTTACAAGACCTGATGCTGCTGGATAAAATGCATTTTACTCTTCCAACTCTGCCCCTGGTCATCACCCAAGTGTATCTGAAGGCTCAAGATCCTTGTAAAATACAGACTGGATATTATGTGACTAGTCTAATAATACAATTGCTGTGAAACTGAGACCTCCAGGGAAAAGGGACAGACTGTTTCTACTAGAAAGCCACATCTTAAAATGCATAATGTCACACAAACCTGTCATGAGAAGTGAAAGTCGTAAGCCAGATTAATTCAGGAACCAGAGAGATATTCCAGGGTAATCTTTAGCATATGGTGTATTAAATTAAACTTAGTAGCCTGTTCCTTCAACACTACTTGGTTTGAGGTTTAGAAACATGGAAATATGTGCTCCAAAAGCAGGCCAGTTAAAGACTAATAAAACCACAGCAGTTACTATAAGCACTATATTGTCATATGCCCAATTCCTAGTGAGAGGAAGGGACGGTATGCAGCCCCAAATCTCAAGAGGCTCACTGTCAATGTATATAGATGGCAACATCTGGCAGAAGCTGCAAGAGGTCAAGAGGCTCTTTGGACTGAGTAACCGCCCTGGCCTATGCTATAGCAGAAGCTACTCTTACTCTTGATCAGCAAGAACAGATTATTCAGGAAGGAAGGAAATCTGGGAAAAGCAAAGTTTACGTGGCTACTACCCTGCAGACATCTCTGTTCTCAGCAGCTGGTATCTAGTAACTTCCTACTCAGCCTCCTTTGCATGCAAGCTTGGATGCAAAGGATCTGGACTGTACCACTTCTGAGACACAGCTGTCTTACACTGAAAGTGCGCTTAGGAAGCAGAAGGGCTCCCCAAGATACCCAGACAATTCCTTACCTTGCCCAGGTGCTTTATCAGTTGAACTATTGCTGATCCATTCTGTGCCCTATTAACTGTGTGTAATTCCAGGGTGCTTAAAGAGACACTTCCAATCCAGAAGTGGTGACTGTAATCGCTAGCGTGTGCTAGTAATGCATAGGAGAGCAGGAATGGACCATATGCCACTATTAAAGTACTTAACCAAGAATGGGTATGTCATTTGGGTGGTACATACTTATAATCTCAAAGAGGTAAAGGCAGGAGAAGCTCTTTGAGTTTGGTGCCAGCCTGGTTTACAGAGCAAGTTCCAGGCCAGTCAGAGTTACATGGTGAGATTCTATCTCAAAAACAAATATTTCCTAAATGAAATGATCCTGGAAAAAAAAAAAAAGAAAGAAAAGTTCATTAAAGGGTAAAAGAAAAACAAAAGCAGCCTTGGTCAGTTCTGCCAGTAAAACAATAGACAAGCCATCCCAATCCTAAGTGAGCACTTTCCACCTCTGAGATGCAGAAAACAGACAAGAAGTGGGATGCAAGTTCAGAGAGGCTGCAAGTTCAGAGAGGCTTCAAGTTCAGAGAGGCTGCAAGTCCAGAGGGGCTGCAAGTCCAGAGGGGCTGCCTCTTGAGGTTCTAGATTCCATGTCTCACCCCACAGGCCCTGTGAGCTTCGGCCGTCAGTTCAGGCCAATTGCTGACCACCGATATGAAGTATTGTCACAGGAAACTGAGCCATAGGACAGCAGCCTTCTGAACTGAGGAAACAGCTTCCCCAGACATCAATGCCATATTTGTGAAGATTGCAGCGCCTTGCATGTTTTCACCAAGAGAACTCGAAAAATGGGATGCCCATGTGTTAGTGCTTGGACCCCATTCTTACAGCATTAGTACTGCTTACAGTTATTTTCTACAGAATCGTGTGTGTAATCTCAAACATGTGTCAAGCTATGTGTTCCTTATTTAGCAATTATTTAATTAGTTCGTTTGTTCTTTGAGATACAGGCAACGTAATATTTCTTTATTTCCTGCACTTTGGAATGAGTGAGTATATGCCAAATATTTTCAAAAGTCTACAGATGGACCCTATTAATCCATACTATTTGTTAGGGAAGTATCACTAACATCAGAGGAAAAGGCTTCTCTTCTTGTTATGCAGACATGCTCCCATCACCGACTTCTTCCACACTCTGAAAACCAGACCAAAGCCTCTGAGAATTTTAGCATGAAGAAACTCGAGCAGCAGGACACCATGCAATCCTAGGCTTATTCCTGGGCTTCAATACCCCTGCATCTGCACATGAGGGATGAGCGCACACAGCATTTTAAAGAACATGCTCTAATGTTTAAGGGCCTTCTCCCTTAAAGTAACCTCTGTATTTATGCAAATTAATAAGGGTTTGTTTCTTCAGAAAGCTGACTTACCAGATGTTCTTACTTCCTAAAAAATTATGATGCTTTTTACATTTTTTTTCTAGTGGACTTTGACAAGAATATTATTTATTATTATTATTACTTTTGGTCTTTTTGAGACAGGGTCTTCCTGTAGCCCCACTGGCCTGGAACTCACAGAGATCCACCTGCTTCTGCCTCCCAAGTGTTGGGACTAGAGGTGTGAGCCACCACGCCCAGCTAAGAACAGTAATTATTATAAAATAATTTTTGTAGTAAATTTTCTAAAATTCCCTTGTCTGTGTTATAAAAATCTCCCCCCCCCCCCAGGGTCTTACTATGTAGGCCTAGCTGGCCTGAAACTTGCTATAGAGACCATCCCAGGCTGTACTGATCTTATAGAGATTTGCCTGACTCTGCCTCCCAAATGTCACCAGGTCAAGTTTCTTTTTTCCTTTTAAATTGTGTTCTTTTACTATTGTTTGGACCTTTAAACAGGACTCTGTGGCTTACATGAAGAGTTATGTTCATCTTTAGTTTTGGCTGAGCTCTTAGTATCCAGAAACTACCCATCCCACTACTCTGCCCAGACCCATTACCCACTTGATATGAGAGAGAGAGAGAGAGAGAGAGAGAGAGAGAGAGAGAGAGAGAGCCATCTAAAATTAAAACCAGCAAATCTTATTTGTACCAAGACAGGCAACTAAACTTAGAGTTCATAGAAGATAACATGTACCACTTTCATCCATGTTGTAGGGCTTCACTCGTAGAAAGATTGCAGATTCATCTGCAAAATGGTTTCTAAGTATGTTTTCCTTAACTCAAAGGTCTGTTCCACCTTCATATCTTCCTTATAAAGAAAATTACTCAAACCACAAGCATACAGGAAATCTGTCATGTAAGAGGATGAATGACCGGTCATCCTTCTTTGTAAGTAGACAGCATGACTGCAGAAGGGACTTTCCATTCATGAAACCACACCAAGGTGAAATATGCTCATCTCACTGTTTCGGTTCTGCCCTTTTCTTTCTTTCTTCTTGTTTTTCTAATCTACCCAAACTACATTGGCAGCTAATAAAACTTCCCCCACACGACCGCTGTCCGTAGCGCTCAAGGTCAAACTGGTGCAACGTAACTTGTCAAAGTCTTGTGAAAAGTTCCAGAAGTTAAAACTCCTGAATTTATTTCTCTGTGAGATGTGATGGGGAGGGCTGCCAGGAGGCTCACCTCAAGTGTGAAATAAACTACCAAATAAGCAAGTAAGGACATCATTTAAGCAGAAATTGAATTTATAACATGTTAAAACACTTCTTCATCAAAAGCTCTCCCATATAAGTGATTCACACACTTTCCCAGGTTCAAAGAAAAAAGAAAAAAAAATTATAAAAAGCCAAAAGGAATAAACAGCAGCACAGAGTTTTCTCAAAGATCGACATAAGTTTTTTTTTGTTTTTTTGTCAGTGACCCTCTTGGAGTGACCTTACAGGCCAGCTTGTACAGTTGGAATGTGAAATGTCCCCCACAGGCTCAACTTTTTGAACACCTTGTCCCTAGCTTCTGGTGCTGTTTTAGGAGGCTGTGAAACCTTTGAGACATAGGGCCTAGCTGGGGACGCAGACCATTATAGACAGGCTATGATGGTGATGGTCTGGCCCTGCTTTACACCTCTTCTCTGTTTGCTGATCCACAAAGATGTAATAGGCTGTATGGCAAGCCCTACCACTAAGGGCAAAGACTCGGAGCTATTCTGGACTGTATCCTTTTAAACCCTGAGACAGAATAAACCTCTTTCCTTATGTCGCTTCTGTGAGATATTTGGTCATAGCACTAAGAAACATACTAATACACACACAAAGTGTGGGTCAGAAATCAGTCAGAGCGGGTTCTGGTCAGTGAAGTCTCAAGTTTTATGAAGACCCTGGAGTATCCGGATATGTTGCTTATCTGAATGAAAGGCTTGTCAAAGCTGATCACAGTGGAAGCTGCCGCCCCAGCATGCACCCTGTTCCCCCTTCTAGAAGCAACTAGATAGCTTGCCTAGCTCTTCCCTCAGGAAATCAGTACTGGTGGAGATCCATTTGCCCTAAAGGGCCACAAAAAACATCTGAGAAGATGAGTGGATGATGCATTTGGCAGCAACAACCTTCTTGGGTTTAAACTCATTACTAAGACTGTAAGACCACAGGAAATAAATTTCTGGCTCATTGTTGCTCAGACATCTTTTCTAAGTGAGCAAGCACTTTTTTTCTTCAATGGCTCCATAATGCCACATTCTCCAAAGGTCACATTTGTCCAGCTAGCTACTAAAAGTCACTTGAAACTTTCATATAAGCTCGTCTTTGGAAGACAGTGGCATATGATGGTAAAGAACTTGGCACAATGGGGGCCAGAGAGATGGCTCCGTGGTCAAGACCAATGGCTGCTCTTACAGAAAACCTGGGTCCGAGTCTTAGCATCCACACGGCAACTCACAACCCTCTGTTATTTCTGTTCCAGGGAAATTTGAAACTCTCTTCTGAGCCCTGTGGGCACTGCATGACATGAATGCACTTACATACATGCAGCCAACATACTCATACACATGAAATAAAAATAATGAGTAAATTTTTTTTTTAAAGAACTTAGCACAATGGCTGCTTTCTGGATGTGATAACTACTACTATTAAGAAACATTCTTTTCCTTACCACACTAGCCTTCCATGGATGGTCTTATGAAAAATTCATCTGTCTATTGTTTGAGAATGTGAGATGTAAAAGAGTCTGAGTCTATTTAAACCCTTAATGACTCATAATGGACAATGCAGTCAAATTTCAGTTTCTTGTGACCAAGAACATGATTATCAACAAGCCAGGATCACTTCTCTTCAGTCCATTTTTCAGTCAGCTTTGCAACAAATATTGATTGCCTGTCTGCAGTTCCATTATGAAGGAGAAAGAGGTCCTTCATTATTAAATCCTGCCATGGGGCACTGGTATCCAGGTTGGCATGCATGCTACTCACCCATTATACTGTCTGTCCCGTTGGCAGGAGGTGTGCAGGAAGAGGTGCTGTAATGGTTTGGGCCACTGCGATGGAACGTGGACATCGGAGGAAGACTGGAGTTGATGTCTGCAGAGGAGTGTGATGGGTAGCTCTACAGCAAGAGGCAGAAAAGGGGAGGGCATATTCAATGGCAAAATACTTAAGTTTTCTAATATGTCTTTTAGAACTTGCCATATTGCAAGGGAGATGGCTTTTAGAATTTCAAAATAGTCAGGAATATATCTTGCTTAGCTCTGACAGCTTTCATTTTCTAAATCAGCAAATACATAGATCCAATGTGGGTTTGACGTTGCATCAAATGTAGAGAAATAATAGCAGCAACACAGAACAAGACAAGAAGGTCAGAATCCCCAAATCCACAGATTACTGGTTAAAATCAGCTTAGAGACTTCAGTAACATACAAGACCATCTCTGCTGTTTTTGTATGGCCCACTGAACAAGTGAAAAACATTCTGCCACAGAACAAATACAACAACAAACAGAACCATGAGATTACACTACATTTCTCTCTGGCCCCTGGACACTACGTGGCAAAATAACTCTTCTCAAACCTTCCTCCCAAACTGGTTCATCTCACTGAACCTCAACATCAAGAACAAGACGGAAAATGAAAATTTCTGAGCAGAACTAAAAGTCAAATCTCTCTGAAGCACGAGTATGGAAAAGCTTAAATCAGTGGCTCCAGTGAACTGGAACCCAAAGAACTGACAATGCCTTAGTGTGATTTGAGTTCTTTCCTTCCATATTCTATCTGCTGTCGTTTATCTGACTATGAAAAAAGGACATCTGCAAAGGATCACTTGGCTTAAGGCTTGGCTTCAAACTCCATTACTGTAGCAGTTGTTTGAATAACTTACTTTTCATGGCGCATATCACCAAGCCTGTAGGGCCGCATATTAGTCAATCTGTACCCATCTGACAGAGAATGAGAAGACCACTAAAAGGACATGGTTACTTACAGGGACACCCCAAGCTAATTTCCTTTTCAAGATAAAGAGCAGTTGAAAAAATTGCTCTCGTTCTTTTCCTCCATAGGCATTTGAATGTCCTGTAGACATGTTAAAAAAATCTTTAAAGATAAAAAAAAAAACCTCCTTTCATGTGATAAGTTAATAGTTCATTAATCTTTATTATACCATTATTGGAAATACAAGTAAATTGCTTAATTTAAAAATAGGGACTAGGGGCTGGAGAGATGGCTCAGTGGTTACGATCACTGGTTGTTCCTGCAGAAGACCTGGGTTTGAATATCAACACCCACATGGCAGCTAACAACGGTCCGTAACTCCAGTCCCAGGGGATCTGACAGCCTCTTCTGATCTCCGCGGGCATTGCACGACATGGGTGCACTTACCTACATGCAGGCAATACATGCATACACATAAAATAAAAATAATAAATAACATAAAAATAAAAGAAAATAAAAATAGGGACTGAACTATGGATCTTTATCGTCTCAGGACTAAAGACATTTTTAAAATAAGTTTAATTTAAAAATTGAGATGGTCAATTCTGCATAAACTGGGGAGCACTGAAACCTACACATTTGCTCACAAGGGGAACAGTGTTTTCCTGGTGCTGATCAATTGATTTGGAGAGACCCATGCTGAGTTCTGCCTCTTCCTGGAAGAGCCTCACTTACTTCTCACTGTCCTATGAACTCTTCCCTGAGGTCCCGGTGCATTCTGCACTGTGCCATTTAACAGTTACCTGCTGCCACCCACTGCCAGCTGCTCAAGCCCATTTCTACAATATTGTGAACTCTTGAAGGGGAAGGAATGGGGCTCAGACCTTGATGTGTCACAGTTAGTAATGAGAATGAACACACAATAACAGTATGAGTTAAGGAACACTGGACTGAAGTACTACTTTAGAGGTCATCCAACCATCTAGGACATGAATCTAAATTTCAGAGCCAGGTCTGGCAATGACACATGGATGCCTTAGAAAATATCACCTCCATGTACACAAAATAGTCCAACTTAGAAGGCTTCAACGAAAAAGTAGAGGCAATTCACTTAAAACTTGTTAAACTCGTTTCTACTTGGTACTTAAATTTGCCAACCTACCCATGCAATGTTCTCTAAAGAATAATAGGACAGGGCTACTCTGTGCTATGAGGTATATGGAGGACTGAACAGGATATGGGATTTGGGAGACCAATTATAGAAGAGTTGAAATAGAGCTACTTCTGAGCTAGATGTAAAGACTATAATAAAGGAAAACAAAAAGCCATGCGTAAAAGAAGAATTAAAAAGAGAAAGCTGGTATAACTGCATTTCTTTTGATCCAACCTTATTGCTTGTTGAGTTTTTAGAGAAAAGACAAAGTATGCAAAAATCAAAAGAGAGGAATATAATTATGCAAACTGTTTAAATAAGTATAATAAATGGAAGATGAGACAGGGAAAGATAAATCATATCGGTGAGACTTTTTGGACTTTTCATGGAAAATGGAAAATAGTTTAGGTTTTGACACACAAAGGGTTAACACTAAGTGTAGAGAATAAAAAGAAACCTAATCCTCAGAGTTTAATGGGGAAACCAATGCAATCCATGTTAAATCAGTTATTTTTAGAGACTCAGAGAAAATTAGATGCTGGAAGAAATTAATGAGATTTATAACTAGATCACTTTCCAATGGAAAGTATCTTGCAAACTACTGTCACTCAGAGAGGTAATAAATACAGCACAGAGAACATTAGTGATAGGCGAATAAAATGTCTTAGAGATTCAGGGACCAACTAACTCTGAAAGGTTCTTTCAGTCTCGTTTTCCAGCTATTACTGTCTATCCTGCTAGCTATAACAGAGCGAGGAGTGTGGTGAACTGAAGTATCATGGCATTCCATTCCCACAATGTTCATTTTTACTTTTATACCCAATGATAGTATACTTAAAGTCTAATGGTCAGGCAAATGTTAGAATTCCTTTGGTAATGTTTGTTAATGTATAAGTTGATGATTTGAAGATTCAAAAAGGAGGAGGAAGAGGAGGAAGAGAAGGAGAAGAACTGGAAACACACACTAAGAATAAAATCAGGCTTTAGGCTAATTAGGGTTTAACCTTTAACCTAATAGAGTTTCACAATCTGGGCATATTGGCTGTTTATCATAGATAGTTCAGTGCTGTGGGTCTTTCCTGTGCATTATAATGTGGCTGTTAGTATCTCTGGCCTCTACAATCTAGAATCCAATACCATCTATGTCCTAGTGTTACAAGAAAAATGTCTCCAGGCAGTGTCCCATGGTCTTTGAGGGCAACATCAAACCCAGTTGAGAAGTACTGAGTTACAAAAATAACAGTCCAAGGAACTTCCTTATACCAAATTTCAGATTCCTCAGAATTTAGTGCACTCTGTGGCACTAAACTTATGTTTCAATCACACCAGGCAGTGAGGACTCTACCCTGCTTTTACAAACAACTCTAACAAGTCATTCCAAATTGAAATCTTCTGCAAAGACCCATGCCAAAGCTTAACCGCAAACTCCATTCATCAGGGCGATTTTATGTGTCTCTCCAACAAACAGTGATTAGCTGTGGGATTCAGTTGTAGAGGCTGAAATTGAAAGGGGATTTTAAGACTTAAAACTGGTGACTTGACAGTTGCAGGTGAAACGTGTGGATCTCAAGCTTCCTAATTACACATTCTTTTATAACACGATCTAAGATGATGAAGGCAATAATGTTTTCAAAATGTTTTATCTTTAGAGATAATACTATAGTGGTCAAATTATACCTCAAACAATCCACAGAAAGCTCTCTTCTTTCTCTCTTTGTGTGATATGAGGCTCGCAAGTACCACCGACTGAAGCTGCAAAGAACTAGCACTATTTTCATGTGAAAAGACATCACTGCTGTATATTCAAATTATTCCCAATCAGTGTCAGAGTCTTCAAAGTCACTTCAGCGAGAGACTGTCATATGGCTAAATACTGAAATTACAATGATAACTAGATGTAATAATTCAATAGTTTCATTCTCAGTGGGAAAACTCATTAGGATACATGATCAGAGACCTTATTCATTTATCCTTTAAAACAAAACTCCTACACTCTGAACTTTGTTAACTGATCATATTTAGAATGAAAGCCTTGAGTTTTATGATGGGTAAGTGGTATTACCAATGCAGCTTTTCATGTGGCCTACTGGGTCATTGCTTCAAAATGATCTTTCTCCCTCATTGCTAATATCGTTTTGATTCATTAAAACTTTTTCTAAAAAGATTGTGCTCAGTTTCTAATTTGAAATTATACTTTTTGTGCACCTGAGCATATTTTAAGGGTTCCTGCTCCATGCAGTGAACTTAATTTGAATGGAATCAAGTCACAATGCAAAAATTCAAAAGCACGGTAAGAAAAGAAATACCTACAAGTGACAAGGAAAAGAAACAAATGGGCAACTCTTCGAAAGGCTGAAATCAGAACATTCTAGAAGAATGCCTCAAACTTTAATTTGTGATCAGAACTTTCCTAGTTTTCACCATGAGTCCCAGGAAATGTAAACAAAAATGATGGAGAAATAAAAATGCCAAGAGATTCTATTAAAATTACAGTTGATATTTCTCTAAATTTTCACTCTAATGCCTCCAGTAGGGGGTTGGAGAAAAGTAAATCTGAAAGTCAGTCCTTTGCTATTCACTGAAAAAGGGATAAAATTTGAGTCTGTGGTTTACACATGTGAACTTGGGAGATGATACAGGCTACTTCCATGTCCTATCTGGAGCCCCAGGACCAATTCAGTATGCAGTTTCAAGGATATTGGCAATCTCTGTATCTGGAATCTTTTGGCCATTAAAGAAGAATATAACACATTTTTTAATGTATGTAGTAGCTGAACAAGAGAGAAGAGATCATAGAAATCAAGAAAGTACTTCCTTCATGGGAACAGAAGGAAAAATAATAAATGTAGACGTGAGGATAAGAAAGTGGAAAAATGTTAAGACAGAGAGAGGTGGCAAAATCCCAGCCATGGACCACTCCATTGGCCAAACCCTTTCTTCTGCATTTGTAGAATTTGAGGTTCAGAAATTTGTGCCAGGCTCTGTGTGTGTGTGTGTGGGGGTGTGTGTGTGTGTGTATGATGCATGTATGAGTGTTCAGTTGCCTGTATCTGCATATGCAGGAGGCCTGAGCAGGGTGCGTGTGTCTTCTGCATTTGTAGAATTTCAGGTTCATAAATTTGTGCTAGGCTGTGTGTGTGTGGGGTGTGTGTGTGTGTATGGGGGGGTGTATGATGCATGCATGAGTGTTCAGTTGCCTGTACCTGCATATGCAAGAGGCCTGAGCAGGATGCGTGTGTCTTCCTCTATCACTCTCTGCTTTATTGCCTTGAGTCAGGGTCTCTCACTGAAACTGAGGCCCAACTTTTCAACAAGGCTGGTGGCTGGCTAGCTGTTGGGATCTGCCTTTTCACCACCTCTGTCCCATTCTGGAGTTACAGGCACAGAAAGCCTTGCCTGGCTTTTTACATGGATGCTGGGTTCTCAGCTCCTATTATTTTTATTGTGTTATTGCACAATGAACTTGAGTCCTATGTAACCTGTATCCCACACCCAACTCACCATCTACACATTATCCAGTAGTTAATGATGGACTTAAATACATAAATAGATTCTGGACTATGGTAGTGTTTGAGTATCAAGTCAGATGAATGACAAAAAAACATACTCCAGGACAGAAAAAAAAATGTACTAAGGTAAGTGAGTATAGAACGTGGGAGAGTAGAAAATCTTACTAAGGAAGGGCTTAAATTTTTACAGCCAGCAGTTTTCTGCTGGAGTGGGCAAAAGGGTAGGATTGGTAGACCTGGGTGTGTGGAACTACAGTTAAAATCACAGCAAGCAAGGATCCAATAAATGTGGAAATTCTTCAGCTAGTATTATCAACAAGGATGTATAGCAAACAAACTCTCTCCTTTGAGTAAGTTGCAATAGGTCAAAGCTGCCGTGGAAATCCTGTCATCTACGTAACCAATTCTGTCATTTTCACTCTGCCCTCAGCAATATATCTTCTAAGCTTTCAGACAGTAAAAAAGGACAGGGAACTGCCATTGCCGAAATCGTGCAACTCAAATACAGTGTGTTTATGTCCCAAAGGAAGCCGACATCCTGATAAAGAAAACTCAGAACAAAACACAATAAACAAAAGAACAATGACAAAGATCGAGGAGGTTACAAAGGTGATCTGCTTCTGTTCTGCCTTTGATCACAGAAACAATCCAACTGTAAGAATAGTTGTGTAGCTATTTCTGCCTCTTCCCAGAGTCCCTGTGTACACAGAGATGAAATTCATAAGCTAGCTCTGTTCTTCCCATCCCCCACCAGCCTGCCTCACCAATCGTTCATGTGGATGCAGGCTACAGTAGTTGCTAGACTGCGGAATATGAGAAGAATTGCCCAACATTCCTCCATAGCCAGGCTGATTCATCCCACTGGAGGAGCTCCAAGGGTCACTGCTGTGATGGCCATCTGTAAAGGACAAAGAAAACCATGACTTTTCTGAGGCATTCAGCCTTGCCTTTTAGAATAGGGTTTCTTCATCGACTTGAAAATAACCGCCTGTTGTGTGTTCCTCTTTGTGTTGCTTAGCTGATTACATCACACGACAGTCAACATTATTTTTTTCCCGAGTGGCTTTTTATATTGCCAAACAAATAGAAACATTTAACAAAGTTAGTGTTCTTAGTAAAAACTCACTGGAAAAGAACAGAACATGTTTCTACACAGAATTATGTCAAGTCAGCAAGGTAATTAATGCTGAAAGAAACAGTTCTTAGAAATCCCTGACCCCTATTTTTATGAAAGCCACCTAAAAAGTTAAACTGCTCCTAAACTTTGGGGTGAAAATAAAATACTTGAGGTATTATGGAGTTGGCAAGTTTACAAGTTTTAAAAGACTACATTGAAATAAGTAACAGGCAAGAACAGCTCAGTTTTAGGAGTTAGATTTCAGTTTTATATCCTGCACAGTATATAGGATTAATGTTGGAACTATATTATGGTGAGTGGGAAGAAGAGTCTCCTACACTTCGTTCCTAGGTCATTTTGGTTTCTGGTATATGTATACAGCTATTTTAAGCTTTCGGTGGCAATTCTGAGTACATGCATGTCACAAGGTTGATATTATGCTATAGAAAATTTCAAGAGCCTTTGAATTTCATAAAAATGTGAGGTAAAGTTTTAAAATAACATGCAAATTTTAAAGTATCTTAGTATGAAGATAAACATTCATTAACATCAGGAAAAAAACCCTTTTAAAAATTCTTTGCATTTTTGGCCTTATTGCTGGAGGTGATTAATATAGATTGCTATATTATATTAATCTATATTAATATAGAAATATAGATTGTTGTTTAATTTTGATTTCTCAAACAAACCTAAGGGTGAAAGACAACCTACAGGACTGTTAATTCATTCACCTTCACCTTTCACTAACTGAACAAACTGTTTTTATTATTATTATTATTATTATTATTATTATTACTATTATTGAGATGGTTTCCCTGTAGCCCCAGCTGGCCTAGAACTCATTACGTAGACAAGCTGGCCTCAGTTTCACAGAGATCTGCCTGCCTCTGCCTCCTGAGTGTTGTGATTAAAGGCGTGAGTACCATACCTGGCTCTGAACAAACATTTCTGAGAACTGGCTATATGCCTAGCTATCAGTTCCTTGCTAAATGTATAGCAGGTAGTGTTTCACTGAAAATAGACTTAGTTTCCTCCTCACATGTTATGTAATATCAAGCCTTTAAAAAGTGGGCAAGCTAAATCTGATGTTTTATTTTATGAAGCTATTTTTTCACTAAAACTTAAGAATTTCAGAACTAGTCTGGTTTTAGAACAGAAAGGAAGAGATGATAGGCTTCTGTCTTTAAGGACCATGAAAACAAGCTCACATCTGAAATTTTGACAATTGTAGATTTTTAACTAGAAGATAGAAATTCAAGCTAAAAATAAGGGGTGACAGCAGTGAGTTTAAAATATGCCCTAGGTAGTACCTGGGTCCTTTTCATCATAACTGCATGTTCCTCCAAGCCCTGAATTCCGTGAACATCTGTATGCCCACTGAAGAAAGATGATGCAAGTGAACTGGAATCACGAAGTCACTGTTTCTGTAATTAACATGTAGAAACCCAGAACTTGTATGCTAACTTTTTCTGGGTGCATGTTATGTGTCAGTGTCTTCATGTGTACATATGCTATATGTGCATACAAAAGTGTACATGCATGTGAGTGCTCAAGCACGTTGAGGCCAGAAGTCATGTCAGGTGTCTTCCTCAGTTGCTCTCCACCTTATATTTTGAAACACGGTCTCTCACTGGATCATGAGCTTGCTGATTCCACTGGGCTGGATGGCCAGCAAGTTCCAGAGATCCTCCTGTCTCCACCTCCCCGATGCCGGGATTACAGGTGCGCATTAAGGCTCCTAGATTTTACATGAGTGTGAGGGATCCAAACTGAGGTCCTCATGCTTGTATGGCAAGCACTTTACCCAATGAGCCATGTCCCCAGCCCCAAAGCCAATGTTTCACATACTTTAGATTTAGTCCTCAGATTACATAAGTGTAAATATCACCTTAAATTTAAATTCAAAGACCACTAACATTTTAAACAGAGTGCACATTCGACAAATAAATTGAGAACATGTATCACTGAATAAGCATAGAGTGGCAATACACTTGGGATTGTTAACACAGCATACTCTACTCCATGCAGACTTATAAAAGTATGTATTTTACATAAATTACGCTTTTCAGAGTAAATTAATATTTATCACATCCCATGATCTTGGCATAATGTTGTTTTGAAAGAATAGAATTAGACGTGTGCAAATTAATTGTGCTCATCATAAATGTCAACTTAAGGGTTTTTTTAGTATTCATATGCAGAGAAGCAAATTTGTTTCCCATAGTTTGTGGGGTGTGCTATGGAAAGGCACCTACTGCTGTAATCTACCTGCCTCTCTGTAACATGTACAGTTCAAGACAGCCAGTTTCTCAGGCGGACAGAGATTTATCCTTCCAATAGTTTTCTCAATGAAAATCAGATTTGAGTGATGAATCTTTGAGCTGACAACATCTGTAAGCATCTGTAGGGCAATTTCTCCCAATGCTCACCAGAGTGCTGATGCTAAGGTCACTACTGTTTATAGCTGAGGGTCTAAGCCTATTGTCATAGCTCTGAGTGTATCCAAGTAGCCAGTCACTGTGCCCCTTTGAGAGCTACATCCAGATTAGGTCACAAAGACAGAGGAGTCATGACCATGAGTTCAATTACCTATGGAACAAATTTTCCTGATCCTGAGGGACCCATTCCATTCAATATTATAGACTTCCTTGGAATTTTCATACGAACCAGCAATCTAAATGAGCTAACGCTGGAGGGAAAGACAAGTCTGCGTACATCACAGCAATGGTGAGTATGACTTCTGTAATCTGAGTGAGACACCAGGATGCTCCCTTGGTATTTCTGCCCTTAGCGTGTTCTTCTTGGGTCACTATCCTTAGAGTAGTGCACAGGGACTTGCAAGGCATACTAAAATAAACTCTGCACACTCAGGCAAGAAGAGAGTTCTGCATATAGAAAGGAGTTCTTGGTAAACTTTACCCATAAATTCAGAGTATCTTGGGAACAAGAGCATCACATTTTGAAAAGAGGTTATCATATGCATAGCAAGGATGGAATTCTTAGCTGCTTCCTCTGAGTAGACAGATCATTGCTGCTTTCTTTGAGAAGACTATTCATGAAGCCACCACAAGTCATTGATGAGCCTGTTTTTTCCAGGTAGTAAAAAGGAGCTAAGTAACCACTGGCGGTAGTATAAGTTCCAGGGACACATGTCTATCTGTTTTTGACTAAATACAGGTAGATAATTAAAATAACGCATATCATTATCTACCATGAAGTTATGTTTTCTGCCTGTGTTACCTGCAACCCCCTCTGAAGCTATTTTTACCTTAAATCAATTAGCATGCCTGGATGACTTTCACTATGTAGTATACCAGTGTTTCACCGGGTCCCTTCATCTTAACCAGAACCTTTGTTCTTATATCAGAAGAAGTGGATGAAAACTTTACAAAGGCTAGATCTAAGACAGTCTCTTCTTTATTAGTGTTGGCGGGGCGGGGAGGGGGGCAAATATACTGAAATGGCCAATCTTGTACAGTCAACACAACCATCAGTTTTAAGTAAAGCAAATCAATTTAACTTTAAATGATTACAGGTTAAGGGGCTTTGTTTTCAAGGAAAAATACTTTTAGGTGAGTTTACTTAATTAGTTAAGGAATTCAATTCTTAAGAAGGGCGAAACCTCCATATCCTCCACACTTGTCTATGATTCCATTTCTTCTGCCCTGTACAGAGTATTAAATTCCCAGTAGATGAAGCAGCACCTTACCTTGCATGAAGAAGGAGCTAGGGAAAGTGCTGGCTGCTGGTTTGGAGGAGGGGTAGCCTGGCGAGTCCCTATTGTAGTCGGCAGTGCTTGCTGAAGGAGCATAGACCTGTGGAAAGAGAATAGCAGGAGTTTTGCTTTCTGCATCGATCAAAGCATCTCCACATCCACCATCTGGTAAGAAGCTGGCATAAAACACAAAATTTCTACCCTGTACAGTCCAAGTCTGATCCAACCCTAGGCACACTGCCCCATCTGAATATAGCAAAGTGAAAAAGTTCAGTATATTTGTGTCAACAGAAAATAATCAGGTATGAGATTTTCCAGTCCAGGCAAGAACACTACAAACCATTTCTAGTGGTAAATATACTATGTAGGCTACAGAGTAGCCTCAGTCTACACATTCCTTTCCTTTTTAAACACAGATGGCCCAAGAGCATGTTAAAGGTAAAACAGAAAGACGTACATGACGTCTCTCCCTCAAGACAGAGTAAAACTTCTACATTTCAATTAAAATTTTCACTTGCAATGAGGGAGACAGACAGAGGGTATCGAGGGAGATGGACACACACACACACACACACACACACACACACACACGAGAGAGAGAGAGAGAATGCACACACACACACACACACACACACACAGAGAATGCACACACACACACACACACACACACACACACACACACACCAGTAACAAACCATTCAGCCCACAGAAAGTGGTAAGTACTAAGTACATTTTGAACTATTAAATTCCCACCGTGTCAGAAGAGATGCATGAAAAAGACCATTAGGAGCCTGGATCAACGCAAGACCACCAACAATCTGTGTGTACACAGGAAGAGGGGCCTGTCCTCTTTTTTTTTTTCTGTTTAGTGCTTATTATATTTGTGTGTACAATAAACTTTTAAAGTGTGCCAAAAATCCTAATTTACTTACATTCGTTTACTAATACTCATGAGACTTGAAAAACTAGTTCCTTATAAAAATAGCCTGTGTATTTCCTTGTTTATGTTTCCTTGAAGCAGGACAGCGTCATATAAAAGCATAAATTCATAAGGTATAGTTTAACTTTAATTGGTTTTCTCCCTTGCCTTTTCTGCTAAATATAATCTTTTTTTAAATTCCCATTTTCTTTTGCTTTAAAAGTTCCTCTCTCCAGATGGTCGGAAAGACTGAAGCGCGCATCCTCTTGATGAAAATGGATACCTTCCTGCCTCCATTTTGAAGCAGGCAGCGGCTCACAAACTTGGCAGTGAGCCTGCAGTGATATTCACAGGTCACAGTGAGAGGAAAGAAATTCACCCACAGAAAGGCTATGGCAGGATTACCAAAAAATAACTCCATTTTTATAGCACACATCGAACAAACACCTTAAAAAATGAAGAAACTGCTCTCAGAACACCATGAATCACAAAATAAGCATTAATACTAGCTTTAGGATTTCACAAAGGATAGGTCCACAGAGACAGATGTGGGAAAATATGCATCTACATCCATACATCAAATAAATACTACACCCGCCCTTGAAAATGGGGAGATCCTGGGGATTAAACAAAACAAAAAACAAACGAGAAAGATTCACTCACGCTACGGAAAGCAAGAATTATTTTCCTAAGTCGCAGAGGGATTTAAGCACTATTTTTTCTTACCATTTCATTTTTATAATTTTCTCCACATTTTAAATGTATGAATGGCAATTGGCTTCAAATTGTACAGGGCTCACAATATGTGTGGGGGTGGGGAGACTCACAACATTTCTGTAGTACCTTTAAGGAACAAAGAGTAAAATGTAGGGCAGGAATGCAAAACCAAATCAGGCTAAGTTTTGTCAAGCAAATTTCAGTCTTTTCCTGAGAAGGACACAACTAGCAAACAGCTGGGGAAGTACTACTAAATGTATTTAGAAAAAGCCCGAGAGAAGACTAAAAAGATATAGGAAGTATCACCTTCCAGGAAAAGGGGAAGCTGGCCGTTAGAACACCTCATTCTGAAGACAGAACGGGCATACCAGGACAGTTAATATAGCCACATGGCCTCAGCATGATGGGTATTTGGTCCATCAAGTCTTACCATAAGATAAGCTGAGTGTACCCTGTATTAAACACCACATTTCAGGAATCAACACATATTTACTAAAAGCTGATATTCTCATGATATCCAATTTCCTTGTGTGTTAAAATGATTGGAATCAATTCATTTAATAACACAAAATAGCTTAATTTTAGTAACTATTCTACTACCACGATCCTTGAACATGCACATTAGAATGTCAATGTCAATACTATGTGATGACACCTAACAGAGTTCATCCTTTTTTTATTATTATTATTTTAAAATTTTGGTTAAATTGTTTGACATCTTTAGGGGAAGATAAGGAATTTTTGCATTAATTTTAGTTATATATAAAGAAGTCATTTGGCTCTGAATTATAAATAAATGGAAATATCTAAGGGTAAGAAGGCTTACTTAAGTTTGTGAATGCTGCCAGTTTGGGAGAGAACAGCTATAAAATTAAAAAGCTTTTAGGACATACTACTACGCAATTTCTGCTTTTTTTGATACTGTACCCAAATAAAGATTTTTCATATGAGATGAGTAATTTTGTTGACCAGAAACAGCATGTTCTATAGTTTTCCAAAAGGTAACTAATATCTCTCTTCTAACACATAAAGGTTTTTCATGTAATAACTTGCAGAAGGCACAATGCTACTCTTTTCCTCTTTAGGACTTCATTTCTCTCACCTCAAAGTCACTTTAAAGGTAAGCAGTCTATTTTTTTATTTATATAAATGAATACTGTGTAGTTCTGTTTTTGAAAAGTAGAAGACCCAATGAATTTATTTCCTTCAACTTCCCACATTTCATTTACTTATTTAGAACTGATTGTGGTGCTGGGTATCAAACCCAAGGTGTTCCACATGCTGGGAAGCGATCAACCATTTAGCCATACACCAGCCCCTCCCCCACGTTTTAAACTTCAGAAAATTTAATAATGGCAATTTGCCTCAATATATGGAACCTATTAGAGCTACACAATTAGTCATTTGCTGCTTATTTTTCATCATTTGAAAGATACTTTGAATGTATCTGAATGATATGAACCAGGCAGATCTCTGTGAGTTCAAGGCCATCCTGGTCTTCACAGTGAGTTCCAGGACAGCCTGGGATACAGGGAGACCCTGTCTCAAAAATTTTGTCAACTTTGTGATGAAAAGTCTTCAATGTATAGATTTCCACAAGTTGTTTAACAATAATATTAATTTCAACAAGATAAAGCCACATATATTTAGTTTTCATTACTATTATTTTAAAATATTTTATTTATTACTTTTATTTTATGTGTATGTGTGTATTGCCTGCATGTAGGTAAGTGCACCCATGTCATGCAATGCCCACGGAGGACAGAAGAGACTGTCAGATCCCCTAGAACTGGAGTTATGAACAGCTGTTAGCTGCCATATGGGCACTGGGATTTGAACCCGGGTCTTCTGCAAGAACAACCAGTGTTCTTAACCACTGAGCCATCTCTCCAGCCCTATTATTATTATTTTAAGTATACAGAAAGATTACTTAATCAACTGGAAGTTTAAAAATTTTTTTTAATTTTTATGTGTATGAGTGTTTTGCCTGCATTGCTTAAGTGCACCACCAACATGCAGTGCCCGCGGAGTGCTGAAGAGGGCATTGGACTCCCCTGGAATGGGAGTTACGAATGGTTGATAGCCATCATGTGGTGCTAGCATTTGAACCCTGGTCCTCTGCAAGAGTAGCCAGTGATCCTAACCACTGAGTCACCTCTCAAGCCCCAATTGGAAATATCTTTAATACCAAATATCAGAAAACCAGTCTAGAAATCAATGAAAATCTCAAACTCCAGTATGATGTAGCGAAATGACCCCTCAACAATGAAGCATAGGAAAATGTAATGAGAAACAAATTCATACCGAAATTCTCCAACAAGGTGGCTTAGATCAAGATGACTATGCATCCTGACTCTTTCCACAAGAGTAAAGGAAGTGTGAGATGTTGCTGCCAATTAGAAATGGGGATGGGAAATGCTGGTTGGAGCCCATAGGCCAGCTTCTCTCACATAATCAAGCCTCATGGCAATCCTGAATTGAAAGTGAAATCTTAGAAATTGTAAGTTTAACAAAGCTATCTAGATAATACCTAGAAGTTGGACTGATAATAATGCAAACATGCTTCCATTTTAGAGCTTTAAATTTTGTTGTAATTTGAGAATTATTACTGTGGTCATTACATGTTCCCAGTGATCTTTTCTACTCTACAAAGAAGGAGACCAAACAGGAATTTCCACCCACAAATCAAGAGAAGGGAATGCACTCCCTTTCTTTCCCTTCTCCTGGATCTTATTTTTAGTGGTCTTGGCCTGTCAATCTCATTCAAAATAACAATGGTTAGAATTCAGAACCTCCTGCGTTTTTGTGGTAGGAGTTCAGCAAACAATTCTAACTTTCCTAATGGTCCATGAGGTGGTATGATTAATAGTACTGTCCCTAGTTCATAAGGCTGAAGAGTGTAGAGAGGTGAAATGTACTGGTCCAAGCGAGCCTGGTTCTGACCATTTGACTGGTCGCTTTTAACCTCTCTTGTCTCTAGAGTCTTCTCTGTAAAATGGGAGCAACAACATCTGTCATGCAAACTTGCGAGAAGTGATTACTACACTGTGTGCAAAGCTACTAGAAAGGAACCTGACTCTCATTATTAACATGCAAAAAATAAGCACTTGTCTTAATGGACAAATGTAATCCAGGAACGTCTGCCTTTCCCCATTAAAAATCTTTCAAGTGGTAAGTCAAGGAAATTAGAAATACTCATCAAAGTCTATGTTCTATTAAAAATAGAACATTTGTTCTTAAAAGATTTTTTTATTTTATTTTTATTTTATGTGTATGAGTATATTGCCTGCATGTATGTGAGTGCACCCATGTCATGCAATGCCATGGTGGTAAGAAGAGGGCTTCGGATTTCCCTGGAACTGGAGTTAAGGACGGTTCGTAGCAGCCATGTGGGTGCTGGGAATCGAACCTGGGTCCTCTGCAAGAGCAGTCAGTGCTCTTAACGACTGAGCCATCTCTCCAGC